AAGACAATAGGCAGATATTCTTTTGTTTCTTTGTTTGTTTTGAGACAGTCTTGCTCTGTCACCAGGCAGATATTCTTAACTATGAAATAATTCAAAGGATACAGCACAAGTAAGCCCTTCTAAAAAATATTGCTTGACAATGAAATTCACTGAGAGAGGAAATGAGTCGCAATATAAACAAGGAAATAAGCAGCCTTTAGGAATAGAAAAGTCACAGTAGGCCTGGTGTAGCAGCTCATACCTGTAATCCCAACTCTTTGGGAGACTGAGGCAGGAGGATTGCTTGAGCCAAGGAGTTTAAGACCAGCCTAGGCAACATAGCAAAACCCCATCTCTACAAAAAATACAAAAATTAGCCGGGCATGGTGGTGCATGACTGTAGTCCCAAACTACTTGGAAGGCTGAGATGGGAGGATGACTCGAGCCTGGGAGGTCCCGGCTGCGGTGAGCTGCGATCGCCACTGCACTCCAGCCTGGGTGACAGAGTGAGACCCTGTCTCTAAATCAACAAATAAAATAAATGGAAAAAAAAGACTGATGCTGGTGAATAGTGGATCCATTTACATATAAAATGTACTAAACAATTATGGGTCTGGGAATACAAACACACTTTCCCATATATGAAATGATATTTGTACATGGTTATTCATTACAACATTATTTGTAATAGCAAAAAAATCAAAACAAGCCAAGGGTCCATCAGTAGGGGCCAGATTTTAAAACTGATTCATCCCACAATGGAATTCTTAAACAGCTACAAGAAGAATGAGGATGCTATGTATGTTTAAGGAAAGAGTTCCAAAATATATTATATCAAAAAAGTATAGTGCACAATAGTATATTCATTATTGTCCTATCTGCACAAAGAAACATCAGAAATATAAACAAGAACTAAGGAAAATAATTATCTAATGGGGACAGGAAGAACTAAGAAGAAGGGGCAAGGGTGGAAGTGAAACTTCTCAATGTACAGCATCTTGTATTATTTTGACTTTTTAAATCATATGAATGTGTTAAATAGTCAGAACACTTTTTTTTTTTTTTTTTTGAGACGGAGTCTTGCTCTGTCGCCCAGGCTGGAGTGCAGTGGCACAATCTCGGCTCACTGCAAGCTCCGCCTCCCGGGTTCACGCCATTCTCCTGCCTCAGCCTCCCGAGTAGCTGGGACTACAGGTGCCCGCCACCACGCCTGGTTATTTATTTATTTATTTATTTCGTATTTTTAGTAGAGATGGGGTTTCACCATGTTAGCCAGAATGGTCTCGATTTCCTGACCTCAAGTGATCGCCCACCTCGGCCTCCCAAAGTGCTGGGATTACAAGCGTGAGCCCGCGCCCAGCCAGTCAGAACACATTTTTAAAGATTATAGGTATGATAGTTATCAAATAGAATTGAAGTGTTATAAACCTATACAATGGATCAAGGTCAAAGATTGTTTCCTTAAGTTGAAATAGCAACCAAAACATTCTTCACACAGGTGCTTGGTGGGTGGCTGCTGGCAACGTATTTTATTGTGGGCTTCTTGATGATAAAGTTTAAGCTAAAAACTTCAAAAATTAATAGTTTTTAAAACATTTTTTACTTAGCAGGCAATTGAAATGCATGGTACAAAAATAAGTGATAAGGTTATTGTAAAATGAAATGGACAGAATAAATATTTGATTTAATTTTCTGGCTGTGAGAATTTCACAATAAAATCAGTTTAGTTTGTAAAAAAAACAAAACAAAACGAAACAAACCCAGACAATGTTAAAAACAGTAACATAACTATTCAAAATTTGGAGTTGTCTGGGCACAGTGTCTCACACCTGAAATTTTGGGAGGCTGAGGTTGAAGGATCACTTGAGGCCAGGAGTTCAAGACCAGCCTAGGCAACATAGTAAGACCCCATCTCTCCAAAAAATTTAAAAAGTTGCTGAGTGGGGTAGCATTTGCCTGTACTACTAGTTACTTGAGAAGTTGAGGTGGGAGGATGGCTGACCTCAGGAGTTTGAGGCTTCAGTGAGCTATGATTATACCACTGCACCCCAGCCTGGGCAACAGAGCAAGACCGTGTCTCAAAAAAAAAATTTTTTTTCGAGTTGAAGAGAGGGGAGATGCAAGGGAATCTGTTAGTGCTAGTCGTTCAAAACAGTATCAATAGATAATGTTTAAACTGGAAACAAGGTTCAGCAAGCACAAGTCCAATTTACTTCATAACCTCTTAATGTCTTTTATAATTGTTTAATGCATACTTCAGAATCTCTTTCTACAACTTTAAAGGGGCCCCTTATGAACCAATATTTCCCATGACATTGGTGTGTGATAATTCCTTCAGTTTAAGTTTTTTTCTTCTATTAAGTGCTAGTAAAATTGAAATTAACAAATGTAATAAAATAGTACTTGTATGATCCTATCTTAATAAAAGTATTTCTATTTATTTTTCTAACCTATCTATCCTTGTAGTTCTAAAGAAAGATGCCTGAAATAATGTTTCTCCATGTTAGCAATGACATTTCTGGGTGGATGGCCCTGGGGTAATTGGTTTCACTTTTTTGTTTGTGATTTTCTCTACTATTTTAGTTATTTATAATGAGCATAGACTATTTAAAATAGAGTGATTTTGCTTTAAGCACTCACATGAGTTTGCACATGTGCGCACACACACACACACACACATTCACAGAGGAACCACATGCCCAAAAAGGTTTATAGTGATTGATTCAAATAGAAGAAATGTGGTGATTGGATCAGTCACTACTTTTCTTTGTGTTCTCTTTTGCATTTTAGAAATGTTTAAACAATGTTAAATAATTTAATCATTTAACAAAACTATATAGACAGTAAAAGTTGCCCTCCACTTCCCTCCCAGTCCTCCTCCCAGTTTTTGGTGTATCTTTGCACACCGGACCCACCAGCACGTGGGTTTGGGTTCACACGATGCTTCACGGATCTTAGGGAACTTCTGTTATAGAACGCGGAGACCTGCCATGTTCTTTTTAATTGCCATATTATTTTCTATTGTCTGAACACTATTTTAGTTTTTACGTATATTTAAATTGTCTCTCATAAAATGAGCAGTGCTGTAATATATCTTTGCATAGTTGTGCGAATATATCTTTGGGATAATTTCCTAGAGATGGAATTATTGGGTCAACAGTTGTGTGCTTTACCTTTTGTTTTAACTTTTTGTATTCTTTCCCACTCATTTTAATTCCTTAAAACTTGTCAAAGTTCTTTTTTTATTTAAGAAATATAGGCCAGGCATGGTGGTTTATGCCTGTAATCCCAGCACTTTGGGAAGTCAAGGACTGTGTGAGCCCAGGAGTTTGAAACCAGCCTGGGCCACATAGCAAGACCTCATCTCTAAAAAATAAAAAATTAACCCGGCATGGTGGCACACACCCCTAGTCCCAGCTACTCAGGAGGACAGGGTGGGAGGATGGCTTGAACTCAGGAGTTCCAGGCTGCAAAAAAAGAGAAGCATATATAAGTAACAAAGTTTCATGTACTCCAAAAGGTCTTATCATGGAAAGCAACATATCTCTGTTGCCCTGCCTCCCTGCCCCAAGATACAAAATACATTTAACTAATTTTAACAATTTCTTCTGATTGCTATCTCCATAACTCCAAAAAGTAAAAGGTTTATCATGATAGTTCCTAATTGATCCATTTTAGACTTCCTGCTATGGCACATAAAGATTTGTGGTTACACAACTATTTTTGGTTAAATCAGTAAGGTATTAAGGCATGCATTATTATAGTTTTATAAATATTGGCTGCTGTCAAGCCAAGTAGTGTACTACAAGCACAGTTTCTTTCCTGTCCAATTTTCTTTTTCCTGGAATCTCTGATTGCCACTCTGTCTTCTCTGACCTCTTCTGATCCTTTTATTCTTGGATATCAGGTACACCGAATTGCATTGATGGCGATCCTTGGTTCAGGACATAATTTCAGTGTTGGTTCATACAACGACCTCACACATGTATCTTTTTAGCTATCTATGACTAAGACATGGTTCTTCATTTATTTGCCCTTTTCTCCCAGTCTCTTCATTATTCTATCTACTTCCCCCTTTTCCCCAGACCCCTCCGTCTTTCCTCAGTTGAGATTTATTAGTCTCTGACTCAATCAATTACATTTAGATGAATTGAGTAAGCGCTTTCTAATGGTATAAAGAAAAAACAGTTTTGATAAGTTTGTAAACTCTCACTTTTAAGCTCTCATAAATAATTTGGTCTGCTTTCTAATATTAGCTAAAAGTAATACAATAAAACCTTAGGAGTGACAAAATTGTTTTATAAAATGGATAAAAATGTTTCTCAAGAGATCATCTGTAATCTGGTCACTGGTCACCAAATGGTCTTTGTTTTGTTTTTGTTTTTTGTTTTTGTTTTTGTTTTTTTGAGATGGAGTTTCACTCTTGTTGCCCAGGCTGGAGTGCAATGGTGTGATCTCGGCTCACCACAACCTCCGCCTCCCAGGTTCAAGCGATTCTCCTGCCTCAGCCTCCCGAGTAGCTGGGATTACACATGTGTCATGTGCCCGGCTAATTTTGTATTCTTAGTAGAGATGGGGTTTCTCGAAGTTGGTCAGGCTGGTCTCGAACTCCTGACCTCAGGTGATCTGCCCACCTCAGCCTCCCAAAGTGCTGGGATTGCAGGCGTGAGCCACCGCGCCCAGCTGGTCTCTTTTTTGTAAGCATATCCCACTTAGCAGGCAGTTTGCCTGGAGTGACTTCTTACTCAGTTCAGGAAATGAGGATTATGATTATTGAATGTTAATTACTGAGAAAATACGGTTATTTAATCTTCTAACAGTCTTACATATTATTTGCTGACTTTATAAATTAGGAAATTGCAAAGGTAAATTACCTGTCCAAGGTCACAAAGCTAGTTAATGGTGGAGTTAAAAGTCAAGCTTTGTTTGATGCCAAAGCTCATCTTCTTTCCCCTCTAGCCTACTTTCTGGACTGCATCACCAAACCTTACCCACTGTATTGTATTTGTTTTCTCTCTTAGTGGATGAGTGCTCGTCTGACTACACAATTGTGCTTCCTGTGATTGGGGCCATCGTGGTTGGTCTCTGCCTTGTGGGTATGGGTGTCTATAAAATCCGCCTCAGGTGTCAATCATCTGGATACCAGAGAATCTAATTGTTGCCCAGGGGAAATGAAAATAATGGAATTTAGAGAATTATTTCATCACTTCCAGGATGGATGTTGGGAAGTTCCCTTAGAGTGTGGGTCCTTCAGACAATGTAAACCACCATCTTCTACTCAAACCAAGTGAGTCATGTGTGATTTAAGTTCAGGCAGCCTATCAATTTCTAAATACTTTTTGTTTATTTTATGAAAGATATAGTAAGCTGTTTATTTTCTAGTTTCCTTTAGAATATTTTAACCACTCAAAGTCAACATTTGAGGTATGTTGAATTAGCATAATACATGTAAAGTAGAATAAGCCTTCAAATTATAAACCAAGGGTCAGTTGTAACTAATACTACCTGTGTTTGCATTGAAGATTTTATTTTACCCTTGATCTTAAAACAAATGCCCTTGCTTTGTTTATCAAATGGACTTTCAGTGCTTTTACTATCTGTGTTTTATGGTTTCATGTAACATGCATATTCCTGGTGTAGCACTTATCTCTCTTTTTCCACTTTACATTTTTTGTTTTTGTTTTTTGAGACGGAGTTTCACTCTTGTCACCCACGCTGGAGTACAATGGTGCAATCTTGGCTCACGGCAACCTCTGCCTCCCAGGTTCAAGTGATTCTCCTGCTTCAACTTCCCAAGTAGCTGGGACTACAGGCACACCCCACCATGCCTGGCTAATTTTTGTGTTTTTAGTAGAGATGGGGTTTCACCATGTTGGCCAGGCTGGTCTTGAACTCCTGACCTCAGGTGATCCACCCACCTCAGCTCCCAAAGTGCTAGGATTATAGGCATGAGCCATCGTGCCCGGCCTTAAATGTTTTTTTTTAATCATCCAAAAGAACAACATATCTCAGGTTATCTAAGGTTTTTTAGTAAAACCAACAAAAAGAACAAATCAGATTATATTTTTTATCTTGATGACTCCTGCTCCACAATTGCTAGACTAAGAATTAGGTGGCTACAGATGATAGAACTAAATAATAAATAAAAGACAATAATAATGGCCCTTAATTGTTAACATAAGCGCCAGACTCTAGGCTAAGCACTTTACCTACATCTCATTTCATTCTCACAACTTATAGGTGAATGAGTAAACTGAGACTTAAGGGAACTAAATCACTTCAATGTCACCTGCCTGACTGATGGCAGAGCCAGAGCTTGAACTCATGTTGGTCTGACACCAAGGTCTTTGGTCTTCTCATTACACCAAGTTGCCTACAAAAACAATGACACCACACTCTGCCTGAAGGCTCACACCTGCCTGCAAGCATACGCTCACCTTACGGGGAAACGGCTTTATCCAGCATCCTGAGACTTTAGAGTAGATGAAAGGAGAGCTTTGCATCTTGAGGCATTAGGGTAGATGAAAGGAGAGCTTTGCAGACAACAAAATAGCCTATCCTTAATAAATCCTCCACTCTCTTGAAGGAGACTGAGGGGCTTTGTAAAACATTAGTTTCTCATTTTTGTGGGATTGTTTAG